CAGAGTGCCTGGCTGGCTGAGTTAGAAGAGCATGGGACTCTTGATCTCAGGGTTGTGAGTCTGAGCCCCACATTGGGTGTAGAGATTACTTAAAAAAAAAAGGCAAAAAATCGTATTTTTACTAATCACATGTATTTTTTCACACCCTTCTTCCTCAACTTCTGTGCCAATTTTTAAAAATTTTTTATTTTATTCAAGTAAAGTTAAAATATTTTTTTTTAAATTTAAATTTTAGGTAGTTAACATACAGTGCAATACTGGTTTCTGGAGTAGAATTCAGTGATTCATTACTTACATACAACACCCATTGCTCATCACAAGTGCCCTCCTTAATGCCCATCCCCCACCCACCTCCCTCCATCAACCCTCAGTTTGTTTTGTATCATTAAGAGTCTCTCATTGTGCCCCCAATTTCTGAAATGGACTCAGGACTCCTTTGATTTCACAGGATGAAGCTCCAACTAGGACCTCTTAGCTCCCAGGCTTTGCTAAAGTAGTAATGGTGAGAAAGGACTGATTATGTATGAGAGTGTGTTATCTGCCTTCCAGCTATTTTCAAATTCCAGTAACAATTTATAAATAACATGCCTCTCAAGCCTGTAGAGGGCAATGCATCAAAACCCTGAATTTGAAAAAACCTTTATCACCTAATTGGAAAATCAGATTATCTCAATGCTGTTTAGAAGCTTCACTGTTGTTTATGAAGTTTCTTCAAAATGAGGGGTTTCACGTAAATGGAAAAAGGAATAATACAAGTGTATTTGGTAGTAAGACATGGTCCTAAAACAAAATCAGATTTTGAGCAAGAACTCCAAGTACCATTAAAAAGCATTTAGTGACTTTAACTCTATCCATCTTTGAGTCTTAAGTTTTCCTGGGAAAGCAAATGGGCTTCAGAATGAGACAATCCAGCTGTGAATCTTAGCAAGTTATTTCCTCAGTAGCAATTTCTCATCAGTAAATAGAGACAGCACCTCACACCCTGCAGAGTGAGAATGCCCGGTACAAGCAGGCGCTCAACAGAAGTTTAATTCTTTCCTTCAACAAGGCCTCCCTAGATTTTAATACGGTCCCCTTTCCTAATTTAGAAGTTGTCTGTATTATTCACTCTATCACATACCATCTCTGATTACTCAAATATTTCATATATGTGCTTTATTTTCCTCAGGTAGAAATGTAAACTCCTGAAAACAGTAATATTCTTTTCATTATACCCACTCAGAACCTAGCATAGTGTTATGACAGACTAACTACTTGACACTTGCCGATGAAAATACAATCATAAATACACTCTGTAAGTGTAGTAATTATCAGCTTTAAAGTTCACGAACAACAATGTCAGGGAGAAAGATACTATAAAACCACCCCCCCCCACAATCTATTTGTCATGTAGGAATTCTTTGGGAGGGGTGGCTCCACAGCTTAGAGTGACTTTCCTTTTTAACTGTGACTTTTAATGCTTTTCAAAGTTTCAACCAATTCTGTATAAGACATTTAAAATTTAATTATTTTTGAAGAACCTTTATTTTAAACATACCAGACTGCATAATAATTTTGATGCATTATAAAGAGACCACAGTCTATCCTACAACCCAATTCCATATTTTGCTATGATGAATATCAGGATAATATGGAAAACTTGTCCTTAGAAAAGATTAAAGATTTATTTAAATTTGAAGGTAAATGATTTCACAGGATCTCAGCTACCACCTACGCTGTATGTCCCAATGTCTCCAAACCTTTTAATTGTATTTTTAAGTAATCTCTACACCCAAAGCAGGGCTCGAACTTACAACACCGAGATCAAGAGTTGCATGCTCCACAGGCTGAGCCAGCCAGGCACCCCCATCAATGTCTCCAAATCCTGATTCACCTCTGCTCTAAATACAACTTTCAAATGCTTACTGGACATCCTTATCTGGGCTCCTTATGATCAACAGATCTAGTTCCAATTCCTCTCCCCTCATGCATGTGTGCTACTATTCCTATATTCCCTAACAGTAATGGGATCATCTTCCATCCAGATGCCTAAAACTAAAAACTATTTTTCCCTCCTTCGAACATCCAAAAAAGTCACCCAAAGCCCAATCTACTCCAATTCTGAAATACCTTTCTAGTTTCTTTTACTCCGCGTCACTACTGCTTTAGCTTAGGCCCTAAGGATTTCTCACATGTTTTATTGAAATCATCTAACTGGTATCCCTACTTCTAGGAGCTCCTGCTTGCTAAACCATACAACACACAACTATGATAATTTCTTTTAAAAATATAAATTTGTTATTTCTCTGCTTCAAAGTACTGATGGCTGCCTTTTACCAAGAAGGAAAGCCAAGTCCTTAGCACAGCACATAAAACTCTGAAGATTCCTTCTCACCTAACTTCTCAAGACTCTGGTCAAAAGTCAACTTTTATCAATGACTCCCCTACTCTCTTCTAGAGGAAGAAGGCCCCTCCTATGCTGTTACTGCTTTGTACCCACTTTTAATAAAGGAACTACCACACCGTAATTATGTTTCTATAGAGAAAGCTCCCTGAAAATGATAATGAAAACAATTCACTTTGTAACCCTGGAAAGGACATGAACAGCCCATTCACAAGAAAGTAGATACTAAGTGGCCAATATATATGTGTAAAGAAGCCAAACCTTATTCTTAATTGTAAATGAAACATTTTGTACCATACCGCCAAATTAAAACATTTGGTAATACTTAATTACTTGAGAAAGACTGGTGAGAGTGGAAAAGAAATAGGCAATATTGTACATTGCTGAGAACATAAACTATCTTTTGGAAGGGAAATAGGACTTTTCACAAAAATAAAAATAAAAATGTATATAACCTTAGACCTATTTTACTTTTTTTTTTTTAAAGATTTTATTTATGGGCGCCTGGGTGGCTCAGTTGGTTAAGCGACTGCCTTCGGCTCAGGTCATAATCCTGGAGTCCCGGGATCGAGTCCCACATCGGGCTCCGTGTCTGCTTCTCCCTCTGACCCTCTTCCCTCTCGTGCTCTCTCTCTCTCATTCTCTCTCTCTCAGATAAATAAATAAAATATTTAAAAAAAAATAAGTAAAAGATTTTATTTATTTGACAGAAAGAGACACAGCGAGAGGGAACACAAGCAGGGGAGTGGGAGAGGGAGGAGCAGGCTTCCCGCTGAGCAGGGAGCCCGATGTGGGGCTCCATCCCAGGACCCTGGGATCATGACCTGAGCCGAAGGCAGATTGACGACTGAGCCACTCAGGCGCCCCAGACCTATTTCACTTTCAAGGAATTATGTATCCCAGGTAGGGGGGTGGGTGAAAGGGGAGGAGGAGGTCAAAAGGTACAAACTTCCAGCGATAAAATAACTAAGTCGTGGGGGTGAATGGATACCATGATGTCTATAGTTTTTAATACTGTACTGTATATTTGAAAGTTTGCTAAGAGAGTAGATCTTAAAAGTTGTTACAAGAAAAAAAAGATTTGGGGTGTCCGGGTGGCCCAGTCAGTTAAGTGTCTGCCTTTGGCTCATGTCATGATCCCAGAATCCTGAGATCAAGCCCCGCGTTGGGCACCCTGCTCAGCGGGGAGTCTGCTTCTCCCTCTCCCGCTCCCCCTGCTTGTGTGCACACGCTCAAGTAAATAAATAAATCTTAAAAAAAAAAAAAAAGATTTTTAACTATGTGTGGTAACAGATGGTTAATTAGACTTACTGTGGTGATCATTTCACAATATATACAAATACTGAATCATTACATTGTACATCTGAATCTCATGTTATATATCAATTATCTCAATTAAAAAATAAGAAATTATCCCATAAATATTTATATAAAAACATTCATTATAGTTTTAAGAATGAAAAACTGGAAATAATAAGCATCCTTCAATACAGAATAGGTTTAACTTATCATGACACATTTATATAAAGGAATACTATCCAGTTATTTAAAAAAAATGAGGTACATAAATCACTATCATAAAAAAAAATCCAAGACATGAAAACTCGGGAGGTAGAACAGCATATGCAGCACGATGCCATGTGTATAAAATATTCACAAACGACATATGTGCTGGTAAATGTACAGAAAATATTTAGAAAAACAAACACCTATTATTTATAGAAAATGAAATTAGTGGAGCCAGGAGGTGATCTTTTCCGCTTCTATACTATTAATGTTTTTAATATGAGGTCATACTACTCTTATAATAAATGTTTCTAAAAAGTCCATTTACGGGGACCCAGGGTGCGCAGTCGGTTGAGTAACCGACTCTTGGTTTCAGCTCAGGTCAAGATCTCCAGATCCTGAGATCAAGCCCCACATCAGGCTCCACACTCAGCACGGAGTCTGCTTGAGATTCTGTCTCCCTCTGCCCTTCCCTGCACTAGCTTGCTTGCTGGCTCTCTAAAGTAAATAAATCTTAAAACAAAACAAAATAGTCCATTTACAACTGGAAGAAAATACTCCTACATTCTTTCATAAAGGTTAATATTTTAACTAATCTTATCCATAATGAAACTAAAATATATGTTAGGTAAACCACCAGGCAATGTCTTAGGTTTATTCTTTCAAACTACAGTGGGTAGTTAGTAGTTTTTCTAATAAATACAGTGCTAGGAAACTGTTCCATTACTCATTAAACTTACTGTAAAGTATTCATATGCTATACAAAATCCAGTACTATATATAGCAAACACCATTAAAAAAATTAATTGCCTCACCTCTTCTACTCTGCACTGAAGCAACAGAAAAAAAGAGACAGGAAAAGATTAGGAATATAGAGAATTCACACATTTGTATATAAAACTGCAGATCTGGAAGCATTCTAAATTAAAGTGTAAAAATACTACTCAGAATAAAATTTTAAAGTGTTTATTAATATTATACTAGATTCTACAGAAATAATGGAAAAGATGAATGATAAGTAGCATTGACCAAGCATTTTTGTATCTAAAATACTTAATTTGATTTCCATTTAAGGGAAAAATTTTCCAGCCAAGTTTATAAGAGTACTTACTGATCTGATTCAAAGTTTCCTGAGGAATCCAACTCATGTCAACATCATTCTGACTTGATGTACCCATCTCTACCTTCTGTATGGGTCTCTTGCGCTAAGAGAGCATAAAAACATTATTTTAAAGGAGATCTATTATAATGTGCACTATAATATTAAAAAAGCGTATTAAGCTACCTAATATTTTTTTTTTTTTAAAGATTTTATTTATTTATTTGACAGAGAGAGACACAGCAAGAGAGGGAACACAAGCAGGGGTAGTGGGGGAGGGAGAAGCAGGCTTCCTGCGGAGCAGGGAGCCCGATGCGGGGCTCGATCCCAACACCCCGGGATCATGACCTGAGCCGAAGGCAGACACTTAACGACTGAGCCACCCAGGTGCCCCGCTACCTAATTTAAATATCTTAAACAAATACATCCTCTTCAAAACATATTCGTACTTAAGTATTTTATTAATTAGAAAGAGAAAATCATGCCTAACACCAATTATAAAGAATAAATGATAAGGAATAAATCTTCACAACGATTTATTTTCAGGTTTTAAAGGCCTTTTCCTCTGCTATAAAACTTCATAGGTCGGTGGGCTGGTGGACCAACTAAGAACTTCTACTTATACAGTGATTTTCTTTCCCTTTGGGAATCAATTCAAAGAATAAATTTATTTTAACATCCAACAAAATTCAAGATAATTACTGAAACACTGCATGCAGGCAGGTAGATTTCTGCACTGTTGGCATAGATAAAACAAAAATTTTAAACCTCATTTAAGCTAACAACCTCAAACTCTGTCCCTGGAGTATATGCAGCAAGACCGCTAGGAAGAAAGTGATTCAATTCCTTCCTTAATCTTGCTCTTAAACAACAAACCTAATCATTTACGTAAGAGTATTAGATATACAGTCCAAAAACTGGACTCTGAATACACGAAAAGTAACTAAAAATGACTTCAAATAAAAAAACAAAAACTGGAGATGTCATTATACCTAATACATAAATCTATAGCAAAAATGCTATTATGAAAATGAGGTAAAGTAAGTTATGGAAATTAACACTTGAGCCCTAAATATTTCTCTTTTAAAGAGCAAGTACTTAATAAAAATTTGACACAAAACTTGTTATACTTTCCACTGAGAGGAATTATATGGGTTGTTCCGTTTTTGTTTTTTTTTTTGCAGGGAGGACAGGGAGATAAAGATACAGTGAAAGAGAAACCATGATTATAACAGGTGCTTCAGTGTTGCCATTTTACTACCCTAACAAGAAAGCAGAAGTTTGATAGAATACAGCCAAATTTATTCTTTCTTTTTCAAATGAAAAGACTCATTTAATTGCTAACTGGAAATTATCCCCAGAGTTAAAATAATATTAAAGCAAATATAAAAGCTGTGTTGCTTCTAGGTAGAATAACATAACCATGAAATAGTAAACAGAACAATGAAATCTTATGTCTGAGTTTAAGAAATAAAAATTCTAGCATGATTTAGAATTACAATATAAAAGTAAAGACCATTCTGGAGGGTGTAGCCAAAAGACCCTAAACGCATTTGTGTATGGAAGTCTAAACAGATCCAAGTCACATACCCAAGGTCTCACCTTCAGGTTTTATTTTAAAAAAGGTACAACAAATGTATAAATACACAAACCTACAGTTGAGAGCAAGAAGCCACAAATAACTAGATTATACTTAGCATGGTAACAACTTCTGAAGTATGGCTATAAGAGTCATTCATCTAGAATTACCTTTCTAGATTCCAGGAGTTGGTGAAGGCCAACAACAACCAAGAGCCCAAGACCAGCAAGGAACATATACATAAAGATTCTGATATAAAAGGAGAAAAAAACTGGCTTTAATTCATAAGAAACACCGCAACTAATTAAACTGTAATTCTGCTCTAACTCAAACAATACCATAGCTATAATTACAACTATAATTCTTTTAATTTTTTTTAAGATTTTATTTATTCATTTGAGACAGAGAGAGAGAGAGAGAGAAAGCATGAGCAGGGAGAGAGGCAGAGGGACAGGGAGAAGCAGGCTCCCCGCCGAGCCAGGAGTCTGATGTGGGGCTCGATCCCAGGACCCTGGGATCATGACCTGAGCCGAAGGCAGACGCTTAACCATCTGAGCCACCCAGGCGCCCCTACAACTATAATTCTAACACGATATATGCTTTCCAAATAACTTGGGGGGCAAAGGAAGAAAATATTTTATATTCAACTTAAATCTAGATAGTAAGTATCACAGATTTACTTTATCTTTAAGAACAGTCAAAAAAAGCAATTATATGATGTAAAATGAGTAAAATTTCCTTATAATTTATTACACCCAAGCTCAGTTAGATTTTGCATAATTTGACTTAAAAGTTGCTTTTGGTCAATTACATATAGGTATATAGTGACAAATGACTCATCCTCATTCACCAAGAACACAGTTTTTAAGATAACATCTAGTTTGTATTTTTAATAGCAATTGAAGAGGTATATAACTTAGATGAAGCTGGTGATCAGCTCATGAGCATGAGGTAGAAAAGAATTTAGAAAGAGGGGACATTCAGAAAGCTAACTATCTTTTTATTTTTTTTTTTAAGATTTTATTTATTTGACAGAGAGAGACACAGTGAGAGAGGGAACACAAGCAGGGGGAGTGGGAGAGGGAGAAGCAGGCTTCCTGCGGAGCAGGGAGCCCGATGTGGGGCTCAATCCCAGGACCCGGGGATCATGACCTGAGCCGAAGGCAGACGCTTAACGACTGAGCCACCCAGGTGCACCCAACTATCTTTTTAAAACAATTTTTGTCATTTCCCATTATCTTTCCTAACTCACTATTAATAGTTATAAAAATCACCTAAAATACGGATTTACATAGACAGGATTTCACAAAAATCTACAGTCTGGTCCATTTTCACTATTAAAACAAATGTTGACAGGAGTAAGCCTTCCAGGCCTGCCCTGTGATATCAAGATCTACATATGGCAAATTTCACTTACGTTTCTCCATCTAACCCATCCTCTCTTTCAATAATCGTAACTGTTTGATTGAAGACAGCATCTTGGAATACATTGCCCTATTAATAAAATAAATCACAAAAATGTCAACAGCATTGAAAAAAATAAAAGATTTTAAGATTTCTTAAAACCATTACCCTAACAGATATAAAACAGCTTTCTCATCACTTAGGTAAGACTCAAAAAAGTCACATGTAATTACACTCAAAGTTATAATATTACTTTCTTCCACAAAATAAAAAATGCCTCCAACTTTGCTAAAGCTGTCCTCTGCTTTCGTGAGGGCGGGGAAGGGAAAATGTGTGAGAAACCAGGGAAGTAAAATAAAGAGGGGATAAATGCACAGAAAGCAGCAAAGCCCACAGAACACCCATAAACTAGAAGCCATAACTTCTGTTGTGTATAATCCTCCAAAAAAAGGGGAAGAGCATGAAAATATATATAGTAGCAGCTGCAATAGCAGATTTAAGAACTATACTTGAACGGAAGTCAAATCCATGTTCTAAATTCACAACGGACTGGGAAATCAATTTACAATAAACGCAATTTTCAGTACCAAAATATTTTTCTGTCGCGGTCTTGGAATAATTTTGTCAGTTCAACACAGCTTCAGTTTTCAAATACAAGAATCACTGGGACAATACATAGATAGCTGTTTCCAGTGTTTGATGCTTCACACTAAGGCAATACTTCTCAAAACTGTCACTTATTGCTAAACTATAATTACGTAAGGTTTACTTCAAAATCTTTCCACCTGTATTCCTCCAATGACAATTCCAGGAATCAGAATACATTGATGATACAAATTAACATTCAAAATGGTACTAAAACTGCACATGTGTCTGTCGGATTAAGTTTAATTCTGCCTGAAAACAAGACAAAATATATAACTATTCAAACTGCTTAACTATAAAGTTGAGGAAGATTAATATATTTTGAAGGATGAAAAACTCTTCCCACTAATTAAAAAAAAAAAGAAAACAATTGCAGCATGAGAAATTTATCTTAGACATAAGTAAACATGTTGACACTACCTGAAGAAAAGGTTGAGTAAGCTTCCAAAAGAGGATGAAATTTCCTTCTCTGAAAACTTTTTGAAAAGGATATGGTTTAGATGTGCCTCATCTGAAGGATGTAACAGTTGGCACCTAAAGGTCAACTCCCAGCAGTAAAATTCTAGTGGGCTTCTCTCATTCATATATATATACACACACACACACACACACACATATTAAAATCCACAAGACAACAGAGCTTGTATTAGACTATTTGGTTCTCAAAAACCATAAACCTCACTGCTCTATCCTAAAAATATCTGATTATATTTTTATCTACGAGCATATAAAATGATGGAAAAACAGTACAGAAAGCCCTTAAAACTTACAAATAAAAGCAGTAAAATGGGCAAAATGCAAGCAATGAATGGAGGTACAAAACAAACTACTCTATATATTTTAACATCTTAATAAGCAACAGACTCCACTGTGTGGCTTACTGTTCTTTTAGGCTCAAGCTCAAGTCACATCTGCTTTCCTACTACAGCCCCTAACACTCATCTCTAGTATGTATCACTTATGCTGGAATATCACTTTTTATCTATCTGCCCCACTGGATGCTAGACCTGAAGACAAATACGTGCAACTTATTTTTGCCTCCCTGTTGCCCATCACAGTTCCAACCATAAACAGGCACTTGAATGAATAAATTTAAGCGTATTCATCAAACAATGTCAATTGTCCTCATCCATCTCTAACTTAAAAAAAAAAAAAAGGTTTAGAGGGCCTTACATTCAAATCTTTGTAGTTCAGATTGATGACTAGACCAAAGGGTCGTCCACCCATGGGCTCTGCAGGAATGAAGGAATATTCAAAAGTTGCCTGTCTCTGGGGTGGTACTACAGTGTTCAGAGGAAGAGCTGTGAAATTCTGGATATAAAACTGGTAGTCCTGAGGATAACGGAATGAGGCATCTAAGGATTCAACAATAAAATCTTCTGTACCCTTGTTTGTAAAGCCTACTAGGAACTTCACAATGTTATTCGCTGGAAAATCTAAGAAACAAACAAACAAAAAGAAACCAGAAGATTACAAAATGTTCAAAGCACACAAAATAATAGACATTACTAAGGATTTGGGTACCCTTTTCTACAAGTGGACCTGGTTTCAGAATCTTTTTCAGTAGTGCACTCCAGTTACCCCCTAGTAACTGATTACAGTTGGTGTATAAACTAAAACCCTTGTCTGTACTCCAGCATTCATTCCAACTTCAGAACTGAACGGAGCATCTCAGTGTTAGACTCTTATCACTTCCACGCTGTGTGGTCTAAGAAGAAGTTGTGTACTTTTAGCAGTAAGATTATCTTGCCGTGGGACTACTTGACTTGAAGTCACTTCCAACTTATTATCTGTTATCTGTGCAGATAAGAATGACAGAAAGGTAAGTCTAAGAGGTCCACCTGAAAATCATAGTATCTGTTAAAGTATTGAAAAAAAAAAAAATTAGGGGCGCCTAGGGGGCTCAGTCGTTCAGCGTCTGCCTTCGGCTCAGGTAGCCCTGCTCAGCGGGAAGCCTGCTTCTCCCTCTCCCACTCTCCCTGCTTGTGTTCCCTCTCTTGCTGTCTCTGTCAAATAAATAAATAAAATATTTAAAAAAAAGAAAAAAATTAACCCGGTAACCCATACCACTTTAAGCAATCAGTCAAAACACAAATTTGAAGGTACAACCCAATGAGGAAGCTATAAAAAAAAAAGGAGGGAAAAATCTCTTAATCAAATCATACTTTTTGTAGGCATTAAATTCGAATATATGTGGGAATAAAACAAAACTTGAGAAGACCAAGATAATTAATAACTTCAAAAAGAAAGTCTTCAATAATTATATGTGGCCTACAGAGCTGAGTTTCACCCAGTTTAGCAGAGGCTTTGGGACAGACTCATCTGGGTCCATATTCAAAATCTATTTACCAAATGAGTAACCCTGGACATGTTCTTCACCTCTCTAAACCTCAGTTTAACAGTAACTATCCTCATACAGTTTCTGTTAAGATTAAATGAATGCACACAAAATACTGAGCACAGTGTTTATTTATAGCTCTCCATAAATATAAGACATCATTATTTTCTTTTAATGAAACTAGGCTCTAATCCAGGCCTAATCATACAGATTTAATATTTCACTAATATTTACACTCAAATTATGAGTCAGTTTACTGTGGCAATTTGAAAAAAATTGAAAAACAGTTTCTTCCAAAAGAACATTTAACTTCTAATTAAAATAGATAGTATTTAATTTCCCCCTTAGTTTAAATGCCAGGAATACTACCTTATAGATATGGGTAATCGCACATATTAAGAGGATTTTTTTGAAATACGTATTTATACCATACTTGTAATGTAAGAAAGAGGAAGATGAATAAAGATCTTAAGCATTACTAATGCTTCCCCAAAAAAGTGAGCTTGTCATTTGAAAAATTCCTATGTCTGAGTTAAAACTAACATTTCTCTATTACCTTCTCCTTTCACAAACAGGATAGTTGTATCTGCACTTGGCGAAGCTTCAGGTTCACCAGATACATCTTCTTCCTCTTTATCTTCAGCCTAACAAAAACAACATTAGAAAGATAATTATGGAGGAAAATACATCATTTAAAAATAATGACTTCACAAGATTTGGGACAAAATACTTTTTCTCCAAGACTTTGCTGGGATTAGTAGTGGTATGAATTTCAGTGTATCTCATCAGTTAACATAAAACTTCCAGAGTGGTGCATCTCAAAGAATAATACGCATACTAATCCTCTGGGGATTTTATGCAGCTCTGATACAGTTCTAGGGAAAGCCTGAAATTCTGTATTTCTAAAAGCACCCAGGAAATACCAAGGCTGCAGGTACTCAAGCCACATTTTGGAACTGTAAGGTTCTAGAGCATGGGTTGGTAAACTTTTATCTGTCAAGTTTGAAAAAAGTTTAAAAACAGTGTCTTTCAAAGGAACATTTAATTCACAGTTAAAACAAACAGTATTTATTTTCCCCCTTAGCTTAAATGCCAGGAATATTACCTCACAGGAAAAAGTCTCAAACTTAGTCTTCCTGCCCCCCATCCTCCCACAAGGGTGTAGGAAACAATACTCCGAAAGCAGCACCAACCGAAGGGCCCAGATATCAAATATTTTCGGCTTTGGGAACCATGAGGTCCCTCTGGCAACTACTCAACTCTGAGGCGTCAGTATGAAAGCAGCCACAGACAATATGTAGAATTATAAGGATAACTAGACTTAGCCTGAAGCCATTTTGCCGACTTCTGTTCTAGCGCACCTTGTCATCACCCCAAAAGATTTCTATCCCAATTAACAGAACAATTTTCTGTGAGAAGATGTCACACAACTTGGAAGAAGTGGTTTAAAAAAAAAAAGTGAGCAGGATCATACTGGGATGATGGAAAGGTCCTAAAATTCAGAGTTGCTCAACTTGGTACATTTACTATGGATTGTTGAATTTTATGTTTAAAACAGGTTAATAGTATGATATGTAAATTATATCTCAATGAAGTAGTTACAAAATGTGAACAAATTTTAATTTAAAATTTTAATCCTCGGGGCACCTGGGTGGCTCAGTTGGTTAAGCATCTGCCTTTGGCTCAGGTCGTGATCCCAGGGTCCTGGGATCGAGACCCGCATCTGGCTCCCTGCTCAGTGGGGAGCCTGCTTCTCCCTCTCCCTCTGCCCCCTCCCCCCACTCATTCTCTCTCTCTGTCAAACAAACAAATGAAATCTTAAAAAAAAATTACCTTTAAAAAAATTTTAATCCTCAGTGCAGCACTTCTGTAGGCATCAATGAGGATTATCATTTAGGAATGAGAGATATTCATACACTTGAAGTGTTCAGGTCTTTAATAAATTGAGATGCTTAAGGGCACCACTGTTTATTGGCATTTTGCTTTTCTCACTTATGTAAAACACTCTCTCTCCCAATAGACAGACTTCTCAAGGGCAAAGACTGTCTTATACTTTAAAAATTCTTCACACCCAGCTCATACACTCAAGAGAAGACACTCAGACATTTGTTCGATGACTGTGCAATTGTCTGATGTTATATATTAAGTATCCTTAATGATACCCTTCATTTAGTAAGAGTTAGTGAATTTCTACTTTTGAGAAAAGAGACCCACAAATAGGAAGAGACCAGAGACAAGAAGGCAGGAACCATAAGCTGTAAAAAGGAGGAAAGAGTATACTTGAGAAATGGTTAAGAGAAATCACCCCGAAGATTTGATTAATGGGTCGTGGGATAAAAAGAAATGGAAGTCATAAGGCAAGAGCTTGAACCACTAGAGCCGTATCAAAACAGAAAATAGTTTATGGAGGTGGGATGGATGGTAAAAGCTGAATTCCATTTTGAAGATATAAAATTTCAGGTATGAATGGAGTATCCAGATGGTGCTATCCGGCAGAGAGCTGGAAATAAAGGTATGGAGCTCAGTAAGGTAAATAGCTAGAGACAAGATCTGAAGGTCATCGGTAAAAGGTGGTGCTGGTTGAAACCATGGGTTTCATCAACATTAAGGAGCCAAGCAGAGGGAGGGAAGGTGGCAGAGACCAAGCAGCAGCGGCTGGGCAGAGGAAACTAAAGGGGTGGGGGACAGAAGCCAACATGAAGAGACTCAAGGAAGGGGTACTCCGCAAATGCTAACAAGGGTTTGAACAGGTTAACAATGAAAAACAGGCCAGGATTTCGCAATTAGGTCAGTGGTGACTTAGCAAGAACAGTTTTACTAGCTACATCGGACCAGACCACAGTACAAATGTGAAGTAAGTAGAGAGGTACAGCTTACTCTTTTTAAGATATGTGCTGGTAAAGAAAAGAAAATATATAGCAACTTAAAGCAGAGGAATAAGGAAGTGGCATATTATAAGCACATGCATAACTTAACAGAATCAAGTCACTGAGAAGGAACAATGAAGTTACAGAAGGAAAGAATAATATAAAATCCCACAGGACGAGGTGGGGACAAGAACACAGGTGGTAGGGCTAGCCTTAGAAAGAGTAAAGACAACTATTTTTAAAGGAGAAAATGTAGAAAGGATGAGTGAATAATATACTTAGAAGTAGAAATTTGATAGAGTTCACACTTGATGGCCTTCGTTTTCTGACACTGAAGGCAATGTGTTGCTAAGTCTGTGAAGAGGACTGATTCTGGAGTTTAAAAATTTGTGCAGGATAAATTATAGTCCAAGAGAGGAAATAAAACTAGCTAGAAGCATGCTGCAATGATCTTGATTCTACCCCAACATTCTTACTGTTTTACTGTAATTTCGTAGTAAAAATTTCAGAAAAAAATTTGAGAGATCTTCTCTAAGCCCCTTCCTCTTCACAGGACACATTTTATATACTGTTTACTGCCTGCTCCTCACTTCCTGACACCAAAACACATATATATTACCCCAAGAACAGATACTCCATGAGAGCAAATACCTGGTTTGTTTACTCCAGCACTGGGAAAAGTTCCTAGCACACAGTAGGGACCCAGTAAATATTTGCTTACTGAATGAAGTAAAAAAAGATCCAGAGAGAGAAGCTACTCAAAGTCAAAAAGCTAAGTAGCATGCATCCCAAATCTATCAACACTGATCCAGTGCCATTCCCACTCTGTACCCTCTTAGACTCATGTCCATATGATCTTTAATTATTGTTTCATGTCTCCTTCCGTGTGCAAGAAAATACCATGATCCATCCTCAATCACTGCCCCGTCTCCCAACTTCAATCCACGCTGATCACAGTAACAAACCTCTAAAAGCAAGAATTTTAATATCAAATTTGTCTATAAAAAGATGAATTCTAGGGGTGCTTGGGTGGCTCAGTTGGTTAAGAGTCTGCCTTTAGCTAAGGTCATGATCCCAGGGTCCTGGGATCGAGGCCCACATCAGGCTCCCTGCTTAGCAGGGAGTCTGCTTCTCCCTCTCCTTCTGCCTGCCACTCCCCCTGCTTGTGCTCTCCCTCTCTGTCAAATAAATAAAATCTTAAATTAAAAAAAAGGATAAATTCTAGAAATGATATGAACATGAATTACATTGTATAGAACACTAACCAAATCTGTAGGTTCATCTTCTTCCACCTCTGCTTCATCATCTTCATCTTCAATTATTGAATCTTCCACTGTTTCTTCATCTTCTGTAAGATCCTGAGCTGTAGCTAATGAGCCTAACAATAAAATACAAAACAAGCAGTTAACCTTTACCCCTGGCATACCAGTGCTTTTTTAGTCCCAGGTATAGGCAATACATTTTCCCCCTTGGAGTTAATTCAATTTCCCAATTCCCTTGAAAGATACCAAATTACAATGCATCTAGAATATTCATGATTTTATCTTATCGACAGTCTTACCAACAATATGTTAACTTTAATGGGAAATGCTGTTTAATTTTCAAAAGCACTTAATTGTTGGGAAAATAAACTGCTGAAACTGAAGATGCCTTGAAGCTCAAATAAAAATCTTTAAGTTTGTTTTAAAACTAAGACACTCCAGGGGTGCGTGGGTGGCTCAGTCGGTTGAGAGTCTGCTTTCAGCTCACTAATGGTCCTAGAGTCCTGGGATCAAGCCCCACATCACCCTTCCTCCACCGCCCCATCAGGCTCCTTGCTCCAAGGGGAGCCTACTTCTCCCACTCCCTCTGTCCCTCCACCTGCTTGTGTGCACTTGTGCGCGCTGTCAAATAAATAAATAAAATCTTAAAGAATAAAAGAAGCTCCAAAATTTAATCCTATTATTAACCATACAAACCAAAAAAACTCCTTCTCAGGTCTAAAATTGAGAAAATAGCAACCTCAATAACTAGGCAAGAAACATTTATTAAGGCTGACTACAACTCAAACTCTTAGAACTTAATAGTATGTAAGTCCAAGGAACAAATACTTATATGGCATCCATGGTAAAAACTAGCTTGCATAAAGCACATTTAGTAAAATAAAAACTATACTGGCAACTTCAGGGTTGATAGCATTGAAAGCATGCATCTATTTTTGCATATGGCTTCAAACATGTTTTAAGTACTTTATTTCCCCTACATTTAAAAATTAACCGTAACTGGGGCGCCTGAGTGTCTCAGTCATTGAGTGTCTGCCTTCGGCTCAGGTCGTGATCCCGGGGTCTTGGGATCGAGCCCCACATCGGGCTCCCTGCTCCATCGGAAGCCTGCTTCTCCCTCTCCCACTCCCCCTGCTTGTGTTCCCTCTCTCGCTGTCAAATAAATAAAATCTTAAAAAAAAAATTAAGCATAACTCTAAGGCCAAGAAATTATAATTTTATAGGCAAAAGTTCTCCAAATAAGTTGTATTAAATCTCAGGCAAGACACTCAAAACAAATTTCAAAGTTCTAGTGACTCTTCCAACATTTCTCAGAAAGAATGATGATGTGGCAATTCAGGAGGGAGAAAAATGTGGGAAAGGAAGCATGTGTACATGCTGCAATACCCAGGAAAAAGTGTATGTTAAGGACTCTGCATTTTAAGCCTTTTCCACTTCCTTGAGTTTTTACCGGCTGTTAAGATTTATGTAAAACATTGAAGAACACTGAACCACACATTATGAACTAAAAAACAGCTTCTACTGTTTGCTGAGAAAAGTGCATTCATAATTTACAAGTCATTTTCTAAAACCAGTAAGAAAAATACCTAAACTGACATAATTTTAAGTTGGACTTAAATTTCAAGACTAAATATGTACAATGGCTTTTCACCGTACATTGCAGTAGGTATTAATATTAACCAGTAACAATTTTGTGCCTAAAAAGTCTAGCAATTCTCAATTGGAAAAATTAAGAAAAAATATCCTTTGAAAGACCACTCCTCACAAAAAAATGTTTAAAGATATCCAGTTAGGTTTAGATACAATTCAGGTTTCTTTTTTCTTTTTTCCTTAAAAAAGAAAATGTTTTCAAACCTGAAAAACATACTCTGGATTCTAAGTAAGTACAACTGTCAAATTTTCTTTAAAAAGCCAAATAAAAACAAACCAGCAAGCAACTCATAAAGGAAAAGAATCCCTCTTTAAACCTGCAAATGAATTCATTAACAGGTTTGGTTAATTCTCTCACTTGGTTTTCTACCCACTAAAGAGAAACCAGTCTCACTTCACTTTTCTTTGCAAAAGCACTCAGGGATACCTGTCAGTATCATTCGTTTTGCCACACAGCTTGCTTAAACTTACAGAATGAAAGGAATTCTAGTGATCGTTTAGTCAGACTGACTTTTACAGATTAGAAAACTGAAGTTCATAATAGAACCAGGGCAAAAAGACAAGTTTCCACATCTTTAATGTTCTGTTATTTTCACACCAGATTAACTGTTGGAAAAGAATAAACCGAAATACGCGTATAATGTCGAATTCGATTCCCTCCCCCACCCAGGGCAATGCGATGCTTCCACAAAACAAAAAAAGTTATAGAAAAAAAGGAAGAAGAAAAATGAGGGCTCAAGTAATAGGCAGGATTCCTCAGTCGGCCTGGGACTAGGGGTGGACAATGAAGGCGAAGATGCGGAGTTTTTCTGAAATGAAGACTCCTGGTAACACACAGGGGTCAGGAGCTGATAAACAGGGAGATGACCAGAAAGGAGGTGAGGGGGCGGAGATGCTCTAAGAGTTTAAGTGTGTAGAAACCACGGGTTTCAGCAAATGAATGAAGACTCCCAACGTGGAAGCCAAAGACACGTCAGCCCAGAGCGGATGGGGGTGGAGCGGAGGCGGCCAGAAGAAATACAACGGGCTGCAGCGCGCTCAGGGTGCAGCTGTGCCCACTGCCCCCTCGCCCTCTTCCCTAAGCCGAGGACCCACCAACTCCGGCCACAGCTGCAGGCGCGGGTCCCGGGCCAGGGGAGAAACCCAAGGCTAGGGGCGGCCACCAAGCAAGGTCGCCCGGCACTGCCCCGCGCTCCCCGTGGAAGGGGCAGAGGCCCTAGCGGGGGTTCGCCCCGCGCGCGCTGGGACCCCCCTACTACAAGCCGGGGGTCGGGGAGGGGTGGGGAGAGGCTGGCGGGACGGACGCCGGACCCAGGAGCCGCTGCCACCTCCAGCTTCAAAACTTGGCTGTCGCTGGCGTCTCCTTCCCGGCCAGGACCCGCCGCCCACCCCCTTCGCCTCACCTCCAGGGCCGCTGCGGAGCCAGAGGGTAGCGGGGAACACGAGCAAGAGAAGCAGAAGCAGGCGGGACAGGAATCTCATGGCGCAGCCGGTCCGGTGTCCAGTCACCGCCCGCCAGTGCTCTCCGCGGCTCCGGCGGTAATGGCGTTACTCTTCATCCGGGCTCCGGAAGGGGGCGGGGCACGCACCACGCACGGGCCCTTGCCACGCCCCCTCCTCTGGCCGAGGAACGCCGCCAACGTGGCTTCTTGGCTGGGAGTGGTGGGGAGCGCGGGCAGCCCCAGGAGTCACGTGACCGGTTGCCCGGGGCTTCTGACTTGCCCGCGAAAGCCCGCCTCCCCCAGTAGTCGCGGGCTGGCCGCCTGCGGTTTGTTGCTCGCCCCCCCCAGCTCGTCCTTCGGTCCCAATTAATTAGCGTCGTAAGTAGTTTGCTTTATTTGAATGACGATCTGCCTGGTGCCCCGGCGCGGTAGTCTTTGTATAATTTTAACTAATAGTGATAGAAGGGACATGAAGTACCCGTGTGTGGCACTGAAAAGCAAAAATGTTTTGTAATATATGTTCAAAAAACGCAAAAAGCCTAAAAAATGGACAGTGGAAAATTTTGGCTCCTATCTGCCCACGCCCTCACCCATAGTTAAATAGTGAGTGCTTAAATTCTTGACATTCCAGAATTATAAATCGCCTAGAACGATGCCTGGCATATTGTAAACGTTTGGCAAATGTATAATAGAGGCAACAATGGCTGTTCAGTGTCCTTCGCTTTCCTTCTCTTCTAGTTAGACTTTAGGTTGCTACCAATACTCTGGTATTTCATGCCATTAAACGGTGTGAATACCAAGTACTATTGGGCTGGACCGGTGTGAGATATCATACGGATGATGAAACAAACTAACCTTGATTGCGTGCTTACTATTGTGAATCACTATCTCTTAGAGCTGTGCTTTTTGTGTATAATTTATGTAATCTCTAAAAATCCCTATGAGCTGGATATTATTTACTGAGAAGAAAACGGACACAGTAAGGTTAAAGGCTTAAAGGCTAGTCAAAGGCAGATGCAAGATTTGAACCTGGCAGTCTGGTTCCAGATTCCTGCTCCATGGCCTAGAACCATCTGCTGTTCTATTCCTGCACTGGCTCTGCTTAAGGCCTCACTGGCCTGGGGACCCTGTACAAGCAGCGTGTGGCTGCTGTTGCCACTAATTCTGTCTGCTAAAATCACAGCCTGACAGTGCTGGGCTGAACCAACTCAGGTCCACGCCACACCACCAGGCCACCAGTGTCACTGCCACTGCCGCTGTTAAGAAAACTCACAGGCCCAAAATGGCATCATTTAGGCCAGATCACCAAATCTGAACTTGATACACAACGTAATTGCAGTTTCAGCTTCCCCCAGAAACGGAGTCTTAACCAGTCAGTCAGTAATTTTCTGATCAGCATCAATAAGGAATCTTGTCACAGGGGCCCTTCTCCAACCTCCAAAAGAGGGTAAGGTAATCAACCTAACAAGACAGCCTGTCCTTCCCCCTAAGGGGCAGGTGACTGTGCCTGAAACAATCCTTTCTTTTCTTTTGCTAATAACTTCTTGCCCCACCCTCCTTCCTATAAAAACTTTCCATTTTGAACACTTCCTCCTCGGAGCTGACCTCTACGTGCTAGATGGGCTGCTGTCCAATTTATGAATCACAATAGAGCCAAGTAGATCTTCGAATTTACTCGGTTCAGTTTTGGTTTTTTAACATGGCTGAGGCAGCCACTCTGCTGCTGCCTCCAATTTCTGTGGGCCACTCTGTGCTAAAGACACCAAGGCCACGGCCACGACTTTGCGGCTGAACCTTGCCAAGTACTTTACTGGCAAGGGAAGACTGTCCCTCCCCAACTTTCTATTTCGTGAGTTTCAGATCAGGCCTTTTCTGAGTTCCTGTTGTCTGACAGGTTTTTTGACAAACGCATCCTTCTATTTAACTTGCGGCTGTCTCCTCGCACCAGGAAGTGTGAACCGTGTAACAGAAAATAGACGTTATACAGTGCTCAATATCACCTCTTCTCTCCTTTCTGGACCAAGGATATCTCATTGACTCCTTTCCCTTCAGAGGATTGACTTCCAGTGGGGAGGATTCTCATTATAATTAAAATGAGATTCCTATTAGGTCCGTCTCTCCAGTCCTCAGGACATAGCCTGAACCAGGAAGGATAATCCAGTTTAGGCTTAAACTGGGACTGCCACACCAGGTATCAAATGATTGCTAATGGATTTTATTTCGGACTTGAATTTTAGAGAACCAGCTGCTAAATGCTCATCAGGGACAAATAAAATGTGCCTACTCTGGATGTGACTGACATGCAGAATTTAGGGAAAATAAAAACGTGCAACCAGAAAACAAACATATGTGACTGTGCAGTTGGTATAAAAATAAAAAGTAGTTGCCTGTGGATCAGGGACGTAAAATACTCACCCTGATCTGGGTGCTCACAAACCTTGTATTATGATGATCTACATTCTCCCTATAATAAGCAGCTTTGTCTTGGTGCCCACCCAGAGCTCTCCCCATTAGTTGGTTCCAATCCTTGATTCATGGAATTAAGAATCTATCCACTAATATAATGGGCACCTGGCTGGCTTAGTCAGTAGAGCATGTGATTCTTGATCTCGGGGTTGTGAGTTTGAGCCCCATGTTGGGGGTAGAGATTACTTAAAAAATAAAATCTTTTTTAAAAAATCTATCTAATTTATTTAGATCTTTCCAAATATTTCCCCATGCTCTCCCTCTCTCTCACCTCTGCACCTATCTCTCTCAAGATAATCTGTTTTCCAGGAATATACCACATCCGGTTATTCTCCTTTATATGGCTCAGGCAGATCTACAGTTGATTTTCCACTTTTGTCATTTTATTCCCTTGGAATTTGTAGAAGCAGAGCCATCTCTTCCTCTGATTACTTAAGAGTTCCCCTCAGCGTCGTTGGCAAATGGGATCATTAAGCACCAGTGTTTGTTCTGTTATATTCCTCCAGATTACCACATAGCTGAGGAACTTCCTCATGCCCCTTAAACTTTTGCTCAACTGTTACCTTGTTAGTGGGACTTACCTTCACTGCCTAATTTAAAACCACAACTCTCCAACCTTCCCTCCCCCACAATCTCTATTCCCTTCCTTCTATTCTCCTTCATTCATAGCACTTGTTACCTTCTCACACAATATATATAGTTGATTATGTGTCCTGTCTGGAAACATCTGGAGGCCAGGGATCTTTGTGCCTTTGAGTCAACGTTACAGAAGAGTACTCTCCGTGGTAACTCAGAAAATATTTGTTGACTTTGTTGTATTGTTACAAGTGACATCTTTTCTCCACAAATTTGCCACCTCAGTTTAATTGTAGGCTTAATAGGAAATGAAAAAATATCAAGAAAAAAAAGAATTGTGTTTATTGCATGCAAGCAAAGACCTAAGTGTTCTTTCACCTAGCAAGGGCTGAAGAAAAGAATTGGTTTCTTTGTGCTATCCTTACCTCTAAAAGAAAATCCTCATGGAAAGGGGGCAGTATAGCAAAAAGAGACAGAAAATAAAGAAGACTTTCAAAGGAGTCCTGACTCCTCGCTTAGAAGGAGGGCTTATATTCTCTCACCAGCCTCCCGGGCATTCTTCCCATCTGGTTCTCTTTCTGCACAATGCACAGACCTCCACAGCTCAGATTTCCTTGAAAAGAACCAATGGACAAAAGCACAGCCACCTGATCACTGTCCACAAAACCTGCCACTTACCTCCATCTGTACACTTGGGCTCTGCCTTCCTTTCTGTTATAATAAAAAATATTTGTAGGCCCACAAAGGGCATCCACCATTTGTGGTCTGTGTCCTATCTCCTGCTCAGAAACGTGTGATTCTGAGAATAGCTCTCTCTTCTCTATCTCATAATAAATTTCTACTTCTCCAATTCATCGTTCCCAACAACATACAAACATCCTGTAATATTGCCCATCTTAAAAAAACTCCCTGTGGCCCCTGTTCCCCTTCAGCAACAGCCTCCTTTCTCTGCTCTCTGACACAGTAAAACATCACTATCCCACCCTTCAATTTTCTTCTCCACCTATTCCAACGAGGCTTTTATTTTTACTGCTAAAACATCTCCATCTTGCTAAATCACAAAGTCTTCGTCTGATCCCGGCCCCCACCCTTCTTTCACACTTGTTCTTCTAGGCTCAGTGACCACCTTACTCTCCTAGTTTTCTTCCCACTTCGCCGGCCCCTCCTTCTCCTCTACCTGGCCCCTAAAAGTAGGCTTGTTGGAATGGATATACTATGTAAGGCGGCCTGGAAAACACTCCATCTACCAAATCAAGGAACGCACAGGTGAGAGGGGCTCCAGCCTCTCTGAGACCAGTGGTGGCTATCCTCTGGAGCCCAGGCTGAGGGTTAGAGAAGCTGTTACAGAACGGGGCCGATTGCAGTGAGGATGAGAGGATGAGAATGAACGGAGGCCATGTGGCAACCCTTAACCATCAGAAGCAAGGTAGGCTTAGTTATCACCATGAGCTGCAAAGTCTGAACAGGGGAGAGGAGTGGAGAACAGGCAGGAGGACTAACCTGGAGAGAGGCAATGGTTACTAATATTAATAATACTACCCAATTAGTGTTAATTTTTTTTTTTTTAAGATTTTTACTTTTTTATTCATGAGAGACAGAGGGAGAGAGAGGCAGAGGGAGAAGCAGGCTCCCAAGGAGCAGGGAGCCTGATGTGGGACTCGATCCTAGGACCCTGGGATCCTGACCTGAGCCGAAGGCAGACGCTTAACCATCTGAGCCACCCAGGCGCCCAACTTAGTGTTAATTTATACCATTAAAGAAATCAAGAAAGATCAAGAGGAGGCTGAGGGCAGTTGCCCAGTAAAGCCACCGTCCCCTCCTCAGCTAGGCATGAGCCAATTCTCAATTCCAGAATTCAGTAACTGAAGAGAAGCCAGGGTGCTATGATGAGGAGCCCTGAAACACAATTCAGTAGTGAATCCGCCATCTTTCTTCAAGGGGACCTATGGACATTTGCTCATGGTAATCATGCATTGAGGAAAGGGGAACACCCAGACCTTTGGAGGATTGTTGGACACAAGTTCTAAATCGATGTTATATCCAGGACCTAAGTTGTCAACACAGCCCCCTTTTAGGGTACAAGTATAAGGGAGCCAGGC